GGCGCCTGGGTGGCTCAGTTGGTTAAGCGACTGCCTTCGGCTCAGGTCACGATCCTGGAGTCCCGGGATCGAGTCCCGCATCGGGCTCCCTGCTGGGCGGGAAGTCGGCTTCTCCCTCTCCCACTCCCCCTGCTTGTGTTCCTGCTCTCGCTCTCTCTGTCAAATAAATAAAATCTTAAAAAAAAAAAATACACAAAAAACTAATGATGTAATGTATGGTGATTAACATAACATTAAAAAAAAAAAACAAACTTCAAAAAAGTAAGTTTTATCTAGAACTAATGATGTAGTGTATGGGGATTAACATAAGAATAAAAAAAAAAATTAAAAAAAAAAAAAAAAAAGTAAGTTTTACTGTTAAGAAAAAAACCCTGAGTTTCAATTGTATTTTTTTCTAATACTCCTCCCAATGAACATGTAATTATAAGCGTAAGACAGGTTCATGGGCGTCCCACCTCTATTGTCCCCTAAATGATCTGAAGCAGGACTTTGGGAGGCACTGGAGGAAAGGCGGGCAGGAGGAGGGGGAGGGGCCTCAGGCCTGGGGCCACGCCCCTGGGGGAGGGGCAGAGGCGCCAGGGGCTAGGCCCCGCCCCTCCCCGGGAGGCGCCCCCCCCCCCGCCCCCGCAGCCCCTCCCCCCCGCCCAGGGCGGCCGGCAGCCGTACCTTGTGGGTGAGGGAGTGCTGCTTGAGGTGGTGGATCTGGCTGAACTCCATGCCGCACTCGGTGCACACGAAGGGCCGCACGTTCTGGTGCTTGAGCATGTGGTTCTGCAGCTGGCTGCGGTAGTGGAAGGACTTGTCGCACTCGAGGCACTGGTAGAGGGTGGGGCCCTGGTGGGAGGCCAGGTGGCGCTTGAGCTGGGTCAGGGTGGAGAAGTCCAGGCCGCACTCGACACACACGTGGCAGCGGCCGCTCTCGTGCTTCACCTCGTGCGCCTTGAGCTCGCTGGGGTAGGCAAAGCCGCGGCCGCAGAAGTGGCAGCTGTAGGGCTTGACCTCCGAGTGCAGGAGCATGTGGCGCTTGAGGTGGCTGGTCTGCGTGAAGGCCTTCTGGCACACCTGGCACTTGTGCGGCCGGGTGCCCTGGTGCGTCAGCAGGTGCGTCTGCAGGTGGCTGGGCTGCTTGAAGAGCTTGCTGCAGTGCGGGCACGAATGCGGCTTGATGCCGTTGTGGCCCAGGATGTGCGTCACCAGGTTGTACTTGGACGTGTAGGACTTCTCGCACATGCGACACTGCCAGCGCTTCTGGCGGTCGCCCGCCTCCACCAGGTACGAGTCGTCGATCTGCACGTTGATGTCCAGCCGGTCCAGCTGGGCCTTCTTGTGGCGCTCCGCCGTCGAGCCGGCCGCGTCGGCCTCGAACTCGCCCGCCTCCTGCCACACGAAGGCCTGCTCCGGCTTCACGGGCTCCGGGGACTCCATGGTGGCGGCCTCGGGATCGCTCAGGGGGGCCAGGTGGGCCGGCTCAAAGCCACACTCGGAGGGCAGGGCCTCCGGCCCGGGCAGCGCCACGCCGGGCTCCGGGAAGCCGGCCCGGGCCGGGTCGGGGAAGTGGGGGTCGTAAGGGGCCGCGTCCAGCTCCGGCCTCGGGGCGCGGGGCACGTGGCGCAGCGTCCGGGGCTTGCGGCTGAAGGCGCTGAGGTCGATCATCTTGACGGCGCTGCTCTGCACCAGGGTCTCGCAGCCGCTGCTGCCGCCGCCGCCGGCCACCTGGGCGGGGGCCTCTGCGGGGCCGGCGTCCTTGTCGTCACCGGGCACGGACACCTCGTAGACCTCCTGCTCCTCCTCCTCCTCCTCCACCTTCTCAAACTTGACCTTGGGCACCAGCCGCACGGGCGGCCGCGTCTTCCGCCGGGTGTGCTTCTCGAAGGCCGCCTCCACCTCCAGCACCTCCTCTTCTGCCGGCTCCTCCAGGGCCCTCCCGCTGCAGGCCAGCTGGTAGACGTCGGGGCCCGGGGGCCCGGGCTCCCCCATGGCCGACCCGGACAGCTCGGGCCCCAGGTCCGGGTAGAAGGCTTCGGCGCTTATGGTGGCTCCAAAGAGCTCATTTTCCGAGACCAGGCCCAGCACGGCGGCCTGAGCCAAGGACAGCACCACCACGGCATCCGTCTGTGTCCCTGAGTCCATGAAGCCCTCCATCCCGCGGCGGCTGGCTAGGAGGGCATCGCTGCAGGGGGAGAACGGAGCGTTAATAGTGCCGGTTCCTGGCCGCACACACAACAGACACACACGCATGTAGCCATTAGCTTGGCTAATTTGGGCTGCATCGGTCCCTGGCGTGTTTCTCCCCCGGCCTTGGGCACAGGACGCACCTGTCATTACGGGGACGCCCTCTGTGTGTCTGACCATTTCCCCCATTCCCTGTGGGATCCTGGACAAGCCCTGCCCCCTCCCTGGCCTCAGTCGGCCCTCCTGTAACAGGAGGGTGGCATTTCCACAGCGGTTCTCAAACTATGTTCCCCATAATGTCCTTCCAGAGTTCCTCCAAAAAGCCGATTTAAAATCGCAAAAAATAAAGACTCCTTTCTTTTAAAAATCCATTTTAGAGTACCCATCTACTCTCAAACGTGATATACACCTCGCTTCGGCACGTTCTGTAGCCCCACTGGCTTTGTTCCCAAGGTAATTAATTTTGCACAGACCTTGAGACCGTACAGTGAGGTGTTTTGGGTTTTAAGAAATATATATATTGCCGGGAGGGCGGGTGAGGTGGGGGAAAGATTTAAAAAAATGTTATATATATATATATATATATATATATATATATAGCAAAAACAAGGCAACACACAAACATAAATTAGGTGCCAAGGTCCATCTCGGCGGCTTATCTGTGAAGCCTGATGTTACAGGACTCCGTCACAACAGGTGATTGTTCTGGATTAGCTAAGTATTACACATTTAGATATCTAAATTTATGCCGATTAAAAGTACAGCTCTCCTCGGCTTTGCACACTGGCGTTCCATGTAGGATGTGATCTGGTCGAAGGGCCCGTGATCACGGCTAACACGTTCGAGAGCGCTGTCTGAAACGAATACAAAAGCCGGCTCCCAGGTTTGCAGGCATGCGCTCTGACCCGACGGGGTCTTCTAAAAAAGCCAACACGCCCACCCGCTCCGGTCCAAACCCCGGGAGCACCGGCTCCCTGCCTTCCTAGGGGCGCAGTCTGTGTAACGGGCCCTTGCATATGATTCTCCCACCGGCGCCAACGAACTCCCGGCTCCTCCCACCAGCCTCCCAGGCTTCCCTCAAATTGCACCTGTTTCTGGGACTCACCGGGCCTCCCTGGGCCCTGGCGCCCTCTCCGGGCCTCCCGGGCACTGCGTGTGCCCCGCATGTGGGAGGGCCTCCTCTCTGGCCTGGGACACTCGGCCTGATTGCAAGGCCCAGCTGGTTCGGCGCAGGCACATCAGAAGTGCTCCATAGGAAGGGGAAAGCTATTACTGGGCTGGCTCCTGGCTGCCCGGCCGGCTCTGACCTCAGGGTCAGGGTCAGGCACATGGCGGGCTGTGGCCCTTCCTCAGGAAACCGGCTCTGGGCCTCGTATCTCCCTGCCCCCCACAGGCCAGGGGAGCTTCTCCTTCCTGAAGCCGGCTAAAAATAAAATACCCCAGACAGGAATTTAGCTTCCTTGAAACGGACACTAAAGATTAAACTATTAATCTTAAAGTCAGGCTCTCGTGAGAGGGTCAGGTGGGACATTCCCACTCTCCCCCCCGCCCCCCCCAGACCACCAGTCTGACACAGCACCCAGGGGCAGGCCTCATGCCGGCTGTGGGTTTGAGCAAACAACATGCTCAGCACTTTTTCTAGACTTCCCTGAAGTCAGGGCCAGGGAGGGAGCAACTGATCCCCAGCAGCAGAGCTGGTGTTGGGCCTTGGCCCTGGGTTTGGAGTTCAAATCCGACTTTTGCCCTTTTCTTGCTCAGGCACATCCCATAGCATCCCCTGCTCGTGGGGTGGTGAGTGCAAATGTTGGCTCCCTCTCTGTCCTCCCTTCCGCGGCCCCAAAGCTGGCACCTCCCCCCCCACCCCACCCCCAGCGACCTCAAGTGAATGGGAGCAAAGAAGCCATCATCCCTCTGGGAGGTGAGCCGCGGGAGCGGGGCGCAGGTCTGGCGTGGGCCCCCGTGGGGCAGGTCACCGTCCAGTTTATCATCAGGGCTAGGACTGAAATCCTTTTGGAGTGAAAGGGGCCACTCCTAATGATCACACCAGCCCCTGGCCAACCAGGCGTCCCCTTCCCCTGGGAGCAGGCAGGCAGTTTTGACTTTGGGGCTGGAGTCGATGTTCCTGTGACAGGAGCCTCTGCCTGGGTGTGAAAGGGGACCTGCCCAGGGTTCTTGCTCATGAGGGGTTTGTGCCCACGTGGCGTGGGACACAGGGGAGCCAACAATTAACCCTAAATGTGGGCAGAAGAGCTAGCTTCCCATTACCGAGTGCTCACAAGGTCCCAGGTGAGCCATTTAATCCTAAAACAACCCCATGGGGGGGGGGGGGGGCGGGATGCACCCCCTTTCACAGCCCAGGAACCCAGGGCCTCAGTCACAGGCTCGAGTGTCCCGTCAGTCAGGGCAGAGCTGGGTCTGCACCCAGGCGTGTGGGCCCTACAGCCCAGCCCCATCTGGGCCCCATGCCTCTAGCTCTGCTCCTTTAATCTGTGCCACCTGGTAGGTCGCGTCACGGCTCTGAGCCCGGCCTCGGCTCCCAGGTGCTGCCCTGTGGTGCCCAGGGTCCGAGGAGCCAGCAGGTGCTCGTGGGCCCCCAGGCGACCTGCAACTGGGAAGCCTCAGAGCTGTCCCTGTCCGGCTGGTCCGGGGACCCCTCCAGGGCAGCTAGAGCCCCGCCACGGCTCTCTACTCAGACCGCACTTCTTGCTGGAACCCTGCATCAGCCCCGTACCTGCCTGGCCAGTCAGACCCCTGCTCTTCCCGTGCGCCGGACAGACACTTGCCTGAGCAGAACACCGCCCCCCGCCCCCACCCCCCGCCGCAAGTGCACGTTCGCTGGCGCAGCCACGCGGGCTGCAATGCGGGCTGCACGTGTGTGCGTGTGCGCGCGTGGGTTTCAGATGGGCTCTGTTTGTTGAGACAGAGGCTCAGAAAAGGAAGACAGGGAATCTAATTTACCTGCATTTTGCATGCGTGCTCCGTCTACCAGACACAGAAACGAGGAGTGGGAAGGTGGGGACGCTCTGCAACCCAGTGTCCCTATTTCTCCTCCTCCTGGGTCATCTTTTGGGCACCCTCCCCCCCTCGGCCCCACTGGCTGCAGCCCTTCTGTTTTATGCCCTAGCTCGAGGCCTGGAGGAGAGCCTGCCAGGCGCCCCCTCCTCAAGGCCCCCCCCTTGTGTGGGGCTCAGAACCAAAGCTCACCACTGTGTCCCAGAGAAAGGGGAGCTCAGGCCTTCCTGGGCTCTCCACGGCCTCGCTAGGAGGTGAGGGGCATCCATCTGGGCAGGATGCAGCTCAGCCTCCTGCCAGGGCACCCTTGGTTCCCAATGTGGAGAGAAAGGACATGGCAAAGGCAGGAAAACAGAGGAGATAGAATAGCTGCTTGGTTGTAGCCCAAAGAGTGGGACTGGGAGTGCGGGGAAGGGAGGCCATGGCGGGGAGGTAGGAGGGGCAGCCCTATTTCCCAGGGCCCAGCATCACCCAGGCCAGCCCCCTGGGGAGCGCCCCAAGCCTTACCCTCTGAGGCCCAGCAGGAGGCCTTCCCCACCCGGGCAGGGACCCTGGCCCCCAGAGCGCTGTCACTTCACCTACTGCTATACTCTAAGTGTTCCTGTCAACACCGACACTCTTGTCAAATGCATTAAGGGGTGACTTGCTGTGTGACGCTGGACGAGTCACCTGACCACACAAGGTCTTGGTTTCCTGGTCTATAAAAAAGCACACGTGGCTTCTCGGAACGCTGAGGGCAGGTTAATCCTTGACCTACCTGCCTGTCACCCCGGGTCCCCCCACACTGTTCTAGAAGAGCCTTTCCCGTCAGTGAGAGCCCCTCCACGCATCCCCGCTCTGAGAGCAGGACAGGGCTGGGGAGCTCGGGGTGGCCAGAACACACACGGTAGGGCAGAGCTCGGGTGGAAGGCACTGGAGGCCTGGTCTGCCTTGGGGGCCCTGGGAAGGAAGTGACCAGCAGGTTATTCCTTGAGTAAATTCTACCACCAGGACATCCTCTCAAGAAACAACTGACAGCATAGGAATCATGCCCTGGGGCTTCTGCCAACCCCACTCTGGGATGTCCCCATGCGCCGTGACCCGTTTACTGCGATGACTATTCCTTGAGGGTCTAGTAGGTGTCAGGGCCTGTGCCCCCACAAAGGCTGCACGGTGCTCCGGGCTTCTGCTGGGAGGGCAGGTTTGGCCCTTGGCCCCTTCATCTTGGCCTTGGACCACCAGGTGGCTCAGAGGCTGTGTCTCCAGTCCTGCAACTGAATCACCGACTCAGCCACAGCTCCCGGGTACCCACGAGGTGCTGGGTACTGGTCTTGGTTGTAGGGATACAGTAGAGAGCAAAATAAAGTTGCAGCCCTCAAGGAGTCACCCTGAGCGAGCTCAGTTAACAGTGGAGGCACCGGGATCTGGGGGCGGGGGGAGGCAGGGGCGCAGCACTGGGGCCGGGTGGGGGCAGGGCTGAGGCCTGGGGCCCTGCGGAGACAGTTCAGGGCCCAGTAGAGAACAGAGGATGGTCTCACTCCTCGGTCTGGCATTTGCACCCTCTGGAATGTGGCTCAGGGTCCCTTTCTGCCCCCGGCACCAGCTGCACCCCTTGGGGGGGTGCATGCCCATGCGTGCAGGGGCTGCGGCTGGGCCCTCTGTCCCCCGGGTGTGGACAAGCGGAGGCTGGAGTGGGGCGGGAGGGCAGCTGGGCCCGGGGAGGGGGAAAAGGCAGTCGCAGGTATGTCCGGGGCTGTAAGCACTCGCAGCAAAACTGCCCGCTGTGTCCTCGGCTGTCTTCCTCACTGCAGACCTCAAGGTGAATCCCCAGAAAGGAAGAGGAAGCAAAAGCCAGGGCTGGAGTCTTGTGCAAACCTCAGGGCTCCTTGCCACAGTCTCACTTCTGTTGGCCCTGGGCCTCACTGGACTCGGCCCTGGGCCTCCCTGGACTCGGGGCATGAGGGCCTTGCTGAGGGGGCGGGTGGGGATGGGGTGTGGCGGCCAAGG